TAGTGCTGGTCCGGCCCATGGAAACGGGTCGTGACGCTGTTGCTCTAGAATTGCAACTATATATAGCCTCTCAAAAGACCCAAAGAATCTCTAATCACTTGGGAACTTTAAAAAAACAGTCAACAGAAATCTTTATTGTTCCGATTTCTCTCTCATTTTTCAGCAACTTCCTTTTCGAATCTGATTCTGACATCTTCAACAAACTTGCAGATCTCCTTCTCACCTTTCTAACGAACTAAGGCTCGCCTAAAACGGACATTCACAGCAGGAGATACGACCTAAAAACCAAATTAGGTTGAAGCAGAAAATTAGGTTGAAGCAGATATTTCTGCTCAAAACGTATCTTTTATGGCGTTTTTGACAATCAAAACGACCTCACTTCATTTAGTTATCATCATAGCAACTGTAGGGCCATCTTCTAAGATTCAAATGGGCTTGGGCTGAGCTGATTTTGACTCTTGGAGCTCCGGACATGTCTTAAACAATAAAACCCCTTCATGCATGTTCATTCATGACATTTGTTCTAGATTCAGATCTCTTTTTGATGGATTTCAAAGTTGAATTGAATCTTGCCTCCTCTTAGAAATTTGTAGAGCTCCTTTCTATCTTTCCATTGAATCACAAATCAATCAATTTGAACATCTATACATTCAGTTATGCCTGAAGAAGCAAATAATGGTCAAAATATTAACAATGCTGAAAATTCCTCAATTAAATGGTATTATTTCCTCAATTAAATGGGATTATTAAAAAAAATAACTTAAAAAATAACTTAGATCATGTCTAATTGATAAAAATTGTTCAACCAACTGATTTAAGCTTGAAAACAACTAAAAAATACCAAAAATATTAAGAATAAAGGTGACAATTTATGCACATATCACATATATGAGTTCGGGCCTACGAGATTATCAAATCTATATTGGTTGGCCTTTTTGCCTATTGTAATATGAGTTAAAATTAGGGGCTGGGACAAAATGGGCTGCGCTAAACTCTTAAGCTCAAGTGCCTATATTGGATCTAAAAATAATCGTATCATGCTATTGCTATCAATCCATTACTTAATAGTCACTTACACTCACGGTATTCTTTTTGGGTATAATCGAGAGGTATAATTCTCCTTTAAGTATAAAGGTTTTTTATACTTTCAGTAAAGTGCGGAGCACGTTTTCAGAAAATCGAATTTGTATCCTCACTTTTTTAGAAATTGAAGTTGCTTACTACGTCAACCAACACATTATTGATAATATTTATTTAACAAATCTAATAACGAACAATTAAAGAAAAAAAAATACAAATGTCTTCTTATTAAAAAATAAAGTAGCAATACGGCTAACTAAATGTGTGATTTAATTAGTCTTTTCTCATAATTGAGGAGAATGAAATTCGAGTCTTTTCAATCACAAAAGTCTCTGCTAATTATTATGAAATTGGAAAGATATTTCTACGGTGACTTATGACTGTATGGAGCAAAACTTGTATCATATATAACTAAATAGGGGGCCAAAATAGTAAATATAACATTGTAAATAACATTGTAAAGATAGATCAACCTAGTTGAAAAGAAATGACGGAAGGAACAATTGAACATTTACATAGGACATGCATATGTCCAATTTAGTCAAAGTCTATATTTTTGGTTAAAAAATTATCTCTTTGTTAAAGGTCAAAAAAGAGTGTTTGGTAGACCCATTTTTTATCGTCTTCCCAACTTCTTTGTAATTCCCAACTTCTTTGTAATTTATTGTTTTGTTTTCATCAAAATTATAAGCATTTTTAGGGTTTCTTAGAGGGAAAAAAAATGTCATGGTTAAGAGAAGAATATAACAAAATAACAATAAAAAGATGTAGCAATATAAAAAAAAAAAAAGGAGAGAGAGATGAGAGGAAGAAGACCTAGCTCTAAGATGAGAATTGAGGATGTTGATTTATTAAACCCCCATTTGTGTCTGTAAAATAATTTATATGAAAATATTATTTACAATTTTTCATTGTTTGGGACATTTAAGAAAATAAGTAAAGGGAAAATATTTTCTTAATCAAAGAAAAATCAAGTCATTTTGAAGGAAAATGACTTCTTATTATTAAGACTCTAAAACATTTTTCTAACATTAATAAACTTATTATAACTTTATAATTTTTAATTTATTAACCATTGGTAGCTATTACTATTACTTAGCATTCACCACTAGCGGATACTGTCGGCTACTATCATCAGTCATTGACAACTTTCATAATTTATCTTTTTCTGTATTCTCATCATATTTAACAATAAAATTTTTAAAATATGAAATTTCTATTATTATTAATATTTTTATGGTCTTATGAGTTAAAATTTTAATATTTTTAACTAATTTTTTTTAATATTACAACTAAAAAACGAAAAAAAATCATTTGGAAAGTATTTTTCAAGGAAAAACATCATGTCTTCTGAAAATAAATGTAACCTAAGTCGTTATGTCTTTTCTTCCTCCTTCCATATATAAGTATAAAATATTTCCTTAATTTCTTTTTTGACTATTGCATTAATGGGGTTCATATTGTGTCTTTCTTCCCCCCTTTTCCTCCCACCTTCCATGCATAAGAATAAGATATTTCCTTCAATTTTCTTTTTTGACTATTGCAATAATGGTGTTCATATTGTATCTTTCTTCCCCCTTTTCCTCCCTCTTTTCATGTATAAATACAAAATATTCTCAATAATTCCATGTACAAATACAAAATATTCTCAATAATTTTCTTTTTTTCCCATTAAAATTATGGGACCGAGGAATATATATATTACTTATTAATTTGTTGAAGTAAATTTATATAATAAGTTACCTATCATACAATATATCATTTCAAACTATTATTTCAAATGATAGCTTTAATGTGAATAATGGGCAGTGATTATATTTTGATTATCTAAACACTAACGACATTAACGGTGGATTCTTTGATTTTTGAGTAACTAAATAAATAAATTAACAATATAGTATTTTTGATGCTTGAAATATTTCTTGAAATTTTCAAATTATGACCGTTATTAAATTTTCAAATCTTCAAATTATCATAATTTTCAAATTTTCAAATATTGCTTGAAATTTGCTAAACTTACGTAATTATCTAATTATGATTTTAAAAAAATTATTTTATGTTACGGTAAATTATTTTTAATATTAATATAAAAATAAAAATAAATTTAATTTCCAATAATTAAAAATTATGTTAGGATGAAAAATTGGATATTTCTAAGGATGAATCAAATTTAGAAAATTAAGTTGAAATAACTAATTAAAAAATAATATTCGTATTCACATATTTATTTTTTCCAATTTATAAAGTTAAAAATTGGAGAGAATTTTTCTTAAATCAATTAATCATTCAAATATTAGAAAATAAAATAACATATATATGGTAAAGATGCAAAAATTGGACATAAGATGGAAATCAGTCTAATAAAAAATAAAAAAAAAGATGAAAATAGAATCGATAAAACCTAGCTTGGCTTTAAAAAATTAATAAACCATTCAGACATATGTATCTAACATTGATTTGAAAATTTTGATTAATTAATCAAATTTGATTTAGCAAAACTTGCTAAACTTACATAATTAATCTAATTATGATTTAAAAAAATTATTAAATTATGATTGTGAGGTCAATTTTCCTCAGTATTTATACTATGATTTTTATACTTATCAGCAATTGGATTTCAATTTTCCTCAGTATTTATACTATGATTTTTATACTTATCAGCAATTGGATTCAATTGAAATAGCTTTTACAAGTGAGCAATAAACTGTAATTATACAAATCAAGCGAAGCGCCAAACGAGGCACATGAGATCTGCTCACACACGCACTAAAATGTCTCTCTTTGCTTTACACTCGCATCGCCTCACTTTTCTCTCTTTCCCACTTCCGCTCACTCACTTTCCTAAAGCTTCTTTGAAGTTTCTGTGTGATGATGACTCTCAAATCTCAATGGTTTAGCTTTATATATACTCTTCTACGTTTTATAAAACTCGCCTTCTACGGCTTCTTGTATCATTGGAATTCTCCATTATGGGTTCTTCTTTCTCTTTTTTTGCTTCAACCTCTTCCCAGCGAGCCCCTTCTTTTATCGTTAATTCCATTGCTGCTTCTTCTCCTTCCTCAACCTCTTCCCAGCAAAACCCTTCCGAGCTAAATAACCATGAAGTTTTTATTAATTTCAGAGGCAAAGACATCCGCGACGGTTTTCTCTCCTTTCTCTTTGAATCTTTGAAGGAAAAAGGAATCGATCTTGAATCTTTGAAGGAAAAAGGAATCGATACCTTCAAGGATGAAAACCTTCAAAAAGGAACTGAAATACACCAGCCCTCAAGCCAAACAATTCAAGAATCATCGTATTTTCAATTGGTCAATATTCTCGTAAACAACTAATGCAGATTCTCCATGGTGCTTGGAGCGAGCTTGTTGTGATAAATGAATGCAGAGAAAAGTTGCAGGGCAAATAGTTTTTGCCAGTTTTTTTAGCCGTATAGACCAACTGATGTTCAAGAGCTGAGAGGCCCTTTCGCGAAGGGGCAGCTCTGCTAGGCTTTTAAAATGATCAGCAGGCGATAGTTTCACAGAAACAACCTGGGTGGATGGTGCCTATGCTTTGAAGACGAATGCACAACAGACTTAGTTGCTTTTTGGTTTTCGAATGAGATCAGTAAAAGTTATCATTTTTCCCCTGTTTACTTTTCATGTCCTTGTTTTTTTCTATTCATACATAATAGATCAATCTTGCGGCAGCACAGTGCGATAGATGGCTTTTAGTCACGATATCTACTACTTTGAAACTCTCACTTATTTTCTCTCACTTATTTTTATTTTCTTGTTAAAATTCTGTTTCATTTTCTCCTATTCCTTCAATCATGGGTTTTACCCACCCAGTTTTTCCAAACACTTGATTGATTCTATTCTAGAATATAAAAGTTTTGGCTTACTTTTTTTTTTTTTTTTTCAAATGTGATCAGAAATGACCAAATGCTAGTTCAAAGAATCGTCAATCGTGTTTCGGAGATATTAAGTCATATGCCATCAAATGCTAGTTACCATGACAAGTTAGTTGGAATTCTTTCGCGTGTCCAGGAAGTAATATCGTTATTGGATATTGATGTAAATGACAGAAATTGGATAATAGGAATTTGGGGAATGGCTGGTATTGGAAAGACAACGCTTGCTAGTATAGTGTTTTCCCAAATCAAGGCTAAGTTTGATGCCCACTGCTTTGTTTCAAATGTCAAGGAACAGATAAGGAAGGAAACAGAAATTGTTTTAGGGGATAAAATCATTCGTTCACTATTGGGAGAGGAAAATTTGAAAATGGGCTCACCTCATTTAGTTTTAGATGACTGGATTTTGAGGAGGCTGCAACGTAAGCTGCCAACGTAAGAAAAAGTTCGTTATTGTTTTTGGATGACGTTGATGATTCAACGTAATTTAGATCTTTTAGCTGGAAACAGTAGTTTGTAACCGTAAGGGAAGTAGAATAATTTTTACTAGTACAGATAGACAAGTACTTCGAAATGTTTGCCAATGAAGAAGCATCTTAATCAGGTTAAGGGATTAAAGTTTATAAGGAACGCTCTTCAAACTCTTTGCGTTGGGCACGCTTTCGCATCAAATGAACCGTAAAGAAGGATATGTGAGCTATCCGAGCAGGTGAATAAGTTATGCTGCAAGGCAATCCATTAGACTAAAAGTTTTTAGGCTGCAAGCCTTTATTGGCAAGGAGAATGAGTAACTGAAGAGAGCAGTTTGCTCAAATTGAAAAGCATCGACGAACAAGAGAATTCAAGTGTTCTAAAAAAGCATCCCGAACAAGAGAATTCAAGATGTTCTAAAAATAAGTTATGATGGGTTAGATAGAAATGAGCAGAGCATATTTCTGGATATTGCATGTTTCTTTGATGGAGGAGAAAAATCTGGAATTGAAAAAATAATAGAAAGTTTTGGTTTCTTTGCGAGATGTGGAATGAGGAGTCTCGATGATAAATCTCTCATAACCATTTCAAGAGTCGTAGTAGAAATGCATAACTTACTACAACAAATGGGAAAGGAGATTGTGAATGAGGAATGCAAACAGCCTGGAGGACGTAGTAGGTTGTGGAATTCTGAGGACATTTCTCATGTATTCAAAACAAATACAGTAAGGGGCAAATTTTGCTACATTTTTCTTTTGTTATTTTTTTAATATTTGAATAATTGGAATTTGAACTTACCGTTCCACATTATTAGTGATGATTCCAATAGCTTTTATTTTTAAATATTTTACACTCAATTACCTATTTTCATTTGTTGTTCATTTATCAGGGAACTGATAAGATTGAGTGCATTTCGTTTGAGACGTTGAATCCTGGAGCTATTGAGATAAGTTTCAAAAGTTTCATGAAGATGCCTAATCTTAGATTCCTCAGAATCTTTAATTCCAAATGGATTTTGCATGATGGCCTTGATTTGCTTCCAGAAGAGCTAAGATATTTAGATTGGGACGGTTACCCTTTGAAATCGTTGCCGTTGAAGTTTTGCCCAAATAACCTTGTACAACTTTGGCTGCGTAACAGCCAACTCAAACAACTGTGGGATGCAGATAATAAGGTATATTTCCTAAACTTTAATATTTCTATTTGGTGTAAATGAACCTATAACATAATAAGATGTAGTTTGATAATAACTTGTATTTAATTGAGTTAAAATTTATAAAAATGGTTTGATGAGAGTGGCAGATCCATGATTTAAACTTAGAGGGGCGAAAATATATAAAGTGAGATCACGAAAGAATATCATAAAAAGAAATGATATGTTTTAATCATTAAACTAATGCTTATTCTTAAATGCATTTCTAAGGAAATAGAATTTAAAATTTCCTTGATGAATCATTTACAATTGTTTTATGTCCAATACATTTTTTACAAATCCGTCTTAATATAGTTAAAGGTCAAATCATTGAATTAAATGAGGTTTTTTAAATTCATCTTAAATTCTAAATATTAGTGATGAGTAATAAAAATTTTGATCAACCAATAAATGACTACTAGTCCAAACTAAAGAAATTCAAATGTTAAGAATATAATTTGACTTATTTAAACAACAGATGATGTGTTAATTTTTACCCTTATAGCAACAACAAATAAAAATTATCTAGACATAAGTTTATTAATCTTCATACTTTAAATTGGCTTATTTTAATTGTGGTATTTGTATAGAAAATTATATTAAAATACAATTTTTAGAATTTATTTTTTGTATTATTTGATTAAATATACAAATAAGTAAATAACTAATTTTGAATTAAATTATAAAAATAATTTATTTTGTGAGTATTTGGTTTTATGTTTTTAGTTGTTGTAAATTTAAAATAAATAATAAGAATACTAAAAATATAAATATAAATTATGCTTTTACTAAGATATCAGACTTGGTTACAAGGTACAACAATGAAGAGATTTTCCACTAAGCTACATTCCACATTGATCATTTTTTCAAAAAATATATATAAGATATAATTTTTGAGACATGGGGGCCATGGCCCCTGCTAGCCAGTAGCCACCCCATGGTTCCACCATTGGATGAGCAGTGAAATTATTTTTTTTTTAATAGATAAATAACAAATATATGTAAAACATGAAATTTTAATAATTCATATTCTTGCTCTTTTTATTACAGCCTTTTAAAAATTTGAAAGTTATGATCCTCTTCGGCTCTCGGTCTTTATTGAGAATTTCGGACCCATTTCAAGCCCCAAACCTTGAGATATTATGTTTGAAAGATTGTAGCAGTTTAATTGAGATTCCTTCATCTCTTAAATATTCAACCAAGCTTGCTCGGCTATACTTACAGGACTGTGGAAGTATTCGCAGTTTGCCAAGCTTCCTTCAGTTAGAAAATCTTGAGATTCTTAATCTTCAAGGTTGCAGTAAACTTAAAGAATGTCCAGAGCTTCCTTGCAATTTAAGGTATTTATATTTAAGTAAAACTGCAATAAAACAATTGCCTTCATCAATTGGACATTGCTCTCAACTTGTTGCATTATGGTTAAGGGGGTGTACAAAGCTTGAAAATCTTCCAGACTGCATTGGCCAGTTACAATCTCTTGAATACATTGATTTTACAGATTTGAAATTCAGCACTTCGCCAAATAACTTCGGATATTTAAAATCTCAGAAGAAACTTGATGCAAAAGGAAGTGGCATAAAAACATTACCATCCTCTTTCAATCAATTGAGCCGATTGGAATGTTTAGATTTTGAGGGATGTAAAGGTTTGACGGTATGGCCTTCGTTGTCCGGTTTGAATAGCCTACAGGAGCTTGATCTGGGTAACTGTGGTATATCAGAAATTCCAGAGAATATTGGATTATTAGTTTCATTGAAAGAGTTATATTTAGATGGAAACGATTTCGAAAGCATTCCTGCAAGCATCAAACAACTTTCTAACTTGGACACTCTTAAGCTGAATGATTGTAAGAGGCTTAGATATTTGGCTTAGATATTTGCCAGAGCTTCCAGGCACAAGGTCATTTTCTGCATCAAATTGCACCTCTTTAGAATTTGTATCATTTTCGTCCTTTTCCAAGGCAGAAACAGAAGATGACCTTCGTTACACCGAACTTAATTTTGGTAACTGCATCAAATTGGGTGATAATGTACTTCTTCAAATTACGGAAGCCCTGTTCTCAGCACAGCAAGGCCAGGACGTACGTTTCCTTTCTCTAATATTAAATTAATAAAGAAGTCCTTATTAAAAAAAATGTTAATTAATTTTTTCGATGATAAACATCAATGAAATATTTTCTTAACTTGTGAATTTCATAATTAATTTATGCTTTGACAAGGGAAGAGAGATAAACATAATAAAATTGAACTATATATCATCTTACTATTAAAAAAATATATCATGAAAAGATTTCAATAGTTATTATGGGCGTTTTTTAAAATTTGTGTTTAAATTATCCATATATTCATTCATTAGATATTTAAATTCAACTGTATCGTTAATTAATTATGATATTCTTTAACAAAATAAATTTTCATGGAGCAGTGCCATAATTTATGTATCCCTGGGGTGGAAGTGCCGCAAAGTATGAAATATCGAACAAGGGGGTCTCATCTTTCAGTTCAGTTGGAAAGGTCTGATCGTATGTTAGGTTTTTATTTTTCCGCTGTTATTGATTTCCAAGATTTTGATTCTATTAGATATGACATTAGAAATTTTTGGAACTTCGAAGATAAATCTGGAAAGATATACTATGACTGTAATTTTAATTTTCGATGTTTTTGGCTTCCTGGGTTAGATTCAAAACATGTATTCCTTGGGTATAAATCTTATGATTTTGAACGGAATTGCACTCGAGTCTCATTCCTTGTTGATGTTGACTCTGGAATTGGTTTCAAAAGTTGTGAAGACGATAGTGGGAGGGTGATCAATTGTGGCATTCATCCTATATATCGGGAAGAATATAGGAAAGCCGAAATAAGGAATGATTAAAACCAAGAAGGATGGCATCAGGGAGAACCAGGAAGAATATAGGAAAGCCGAAATAAGGAATGATTAAAACCAAGAAGGATGGCATCAGGGAGAACCAGACAAGGATACAGTACAGGCGGCGAATGTTGAATTATGAGAGAAGAATTCAAGACAAAGACTCTGATTAAGGTCAATTAGTATGGCAAATGAAAATTGACACAGGTAAAGGAATTTCTAGTTTCGTGCGTTTTAATTTGGGATTTTGGTTGACTTCAATTTTCAATTCACAGCATCACAGGAGTGGAGAGAATCAGCTTATTATTGGCTGTTACTTGGCTATTAGCACTCATAATAGCTAATCTATTTCTAAGTTTCTGCAGTTGTTCACCACAAAAAATCATTTTTCTTTGGTCATAGGATCTATTATTATGTTACGTCAAAGACTTTTATTAAGTATTTCTTAATATTTGAGGTATTATTTTACTTGAGTTATTATTATTTGGCTAAATGATTAAAAAAAATCTGAACTTTGGTCATTTTTATAATTTTAACCAATTCTATTAATTTTGATAATTGTAGTAGTGAACTTATTTTTTTTGTTGCAATTACAAACTTTTGTCCTATGTCCGTTACAAAATTGTTGATGTTGTTATTAGTGGGATTCACATTTTGACACATCAGCACAACTTCAAGAGAAAAAAGAGTAAAAAAAAGAAGCTTGAACTTTGTTTGTTTTTGTAATTTTAGCCAATTTTTTTTCCTTTTTTTTAGAATGTCATCGTATGAATTGTTTCACATTACTTGCATATACATACTTAGCACATAATTAATTATAGTTTAATCATATAAAATTTAAATTTTCTTTAATGATTCTCAAATTACAGTCTATTTCATGTAAAATTTATTATTTAAAGTTAATTATTTAATTATTCACTTAATTAAGAAAATAATATTATAACACACAAATGCATTATATATTTTCCAATTAACTTAAATTTGAAAATTTTAAAAATTAAAAATAAATTATTGTAACCCAAAATAATTTATTTTTAAAATAAATAATTTTATAAGTTAGGTCTTTTTCAATTATTTGACTTTTTTGGCTGACGTGGCATGATAACGTGACACTAATGGTGTCAAGACATGGACCCCGCTAATTGTAACGTCAGTAACTTTTTTTTTGAAAGAGGTAACGTCGGTAACTTTTAACAGATATATGATAGAGGTTATAATTACAATGGAAAAAAGAATTGGCTAAAATTATAAGAAAGACTAAAGTTCAGACTTTTTTTTTTAGCATTGAGCCTTATTATTTTTCGTTTTCCACCTTGTTTCAATCAAAATTTTTTATTTGCATTTCATTTTATTAATTTTTTATAATATTTATTAATTTTGTCTATATTCATGTTATAATCTTTACAGTAAAATTTTTAATAAAAAGCATCTAGTGCATTTATCTTTTTTCTCAACAACTTATTATCATTTTTATTATGTCATAAAGAAACCGATCAATCATATAGTTAAAGAAAAAGACAACTATAACGAGTATTACCCGGTGTGAAAAACTAATAGAAATATGAAAAGTTAGAAAATGGATTTATTGTAAATCAAATTGAAAAACATGAAATCTTGTTCCAAAAATTGCAAACCAAAAATGATTCAAAAGAAGTGGAGAGAGAAAGCTGACTCAATTTCTGGAATTCTCACTTTTTTAATAATATCTTCTCCAACATATCAAATATTTCCTCTCCTTCCAAAAGCAGTAATGGAGGTTATTGCTGACGTTAAAACATTGTCTCCATTATTGAAGCATCATTTTCACACTTCCTATCATTGCATTGCCAAATGTAATGCAAGTTCAACCAAAACTGATTTGAAATAAGATTGATTTAAATTTAGATTATTGATTTAAATTTAGATTATTAATTTTAATTGCTATACAGATTCACGATTACTTTTTTTTTTTTTTTTATTATATAACTGCTAATCGTAAAACTGTGCTTCAGGCGCAGGTATGAATATATTATTTAAATAATATTATTAAATAAATATGTATTTTCCTTTTATTAAAAAAATAATTTTTGAATAAATTATACATGATGCTTAATGGAGAGTGAATTGAACCATATGGACAATCAATGTTATGGAATTGGGTAATATTAGAGGCAACAATAATGATTTGGTTGATAGAAATGCACATTGAAAATGGATACAGTAAGAAACTTAGTGAAATTATTTTATTATAATAAAAAAAAATTCGATCATAATACCCAAAAAAAAAAAAAAAAAGAGACAAGCCAAAAAAATAAAATTCACATTGAAAAAAAAAATTATTCATCACTCCATGGGATATTAACAGTATATTTAAAAGTAACTAAAAGATGTTACATATAATTTTTTTATGTGTAACATGCAACTTTTTTTTTTATTACAAATTGGTTGAAGGATTTTCTTTTACTAAAAAAAATAAAAAAATTTTAAAATAAACGAAAATAAGATTATACATAATTTTAAAAATTTAACTCAACTATAAAGAAAGATATTTTTATTAATTAATTGTTAGAAAAAAAAAAAAAAAAAAAAAAAAAAAAAAGACTTTTTAGCTAAGAAAGCTCTCTCTTCTAGTATGGAGGAGCTCATGTTTACGGAGGAAGTCCTTTCATTCTTAGATGTTTTTATTCATGTTGATATATCCTTCTTTTCTTAATAATATTTAGATGTTCATTCTCAAAAAAGAGAGACAGCAAAAAAATAAAATTCATTGAAAAAAAAAATTATTATCACTCATGATATTAACAGTATATTTAAAAGTAACTAAAGATGTTACTATAATTTTTTTATGTGTAACATGCAACTTTTTTTTTTATTACAATTGGTTGAAGATTTTTCTTTACTAAAAAAATAAAAAATTTTTAAAATAACGTAAAATAAGATTATACATAATTTTAAAAATTAAGTCAACGATAAAGAAAGATATTTTTTATTAATTAATTGTAGAAAATATATTAAATAATTAATTTACCATGCTGTAAAACTTTTTATAATTTTATTTATTCAGATTTTTTTATTAATTCTTAAAGTAATTTAAACATATTGCGTTATTAATCCAATTGCAAGTTCAAATTCTATGTGCAAATGAAGGTTTTGAGCAACTGGAATATGACAATTTTGAAATTAACATCAATTATTTTCATCTACTACAGTTAAACTAAAATTTTACCAATGAATATACAATATTTATTAGTATTAGTGGCAAAAGATCTTTCTCAAATTTATAGACAGAGATGATATTAAATTCAAAATTTTCAAATTAAAGTCCCAATTATCTACATATTTATATATTATTTATTTAAAAATATATTATGTAATATCCCGACTAATTAAATTATTCTCTCTTAAAATATAGATTCAAATTTTTTAAGATGAAAATTGATTTCAATTTTTAGATATCAATTGTTTGAATAACTTATTTTTTAGACTTAATAAAAAGCAAACTAAATTAAAAGTTTCTCAAATTTTTTTATTAACATTGAAACAAAAATAAATTTGTCAAACAAATATTTTAGTGTACTATTGGTAAGTTTATAGTTTGCCTACATAACTTGATAATGCTAATAGAAATAGAATAAACTTTTGATTTTTTTTTTTTTGAGGAAATAAACTATTGATAAGGTTCATATATATATATTGTTATATAGAATCTGTAATTTAAACAAATTTAAATAATTCAATATGAATAATTTATAAGTAAAAAAAATAAAATAATTAAAATATTACGTTGTCGAATAACAATATAAAAAAAATAAAGAAAAACTTCAAAAATACAAATTAATCGAGGAATTCATTGTACATGGCATGATGAGTGTATTCAAATTTAGCTTATTAAAAATCTAATAAGCATAACCATTTACTAACTTAAATAATTTTTCCTCATTTGTCCTATACTCTACAGTTAACAAAGATATGATAAACTAATCTTGGGACCTTTAAATATTCTTTATGATTAATATCAAACATCAAGTTTCTTATTCTTTTCCTAGGTTTATGATATTAATTATTATACATTTTTCTTTAATTTTGTTTAAATTAGGTACAGGTGTTACAGAAACAGTGACTTGTTGTCTTTGTTTGTTCTTTCCTTATCTAATCTGATCCAGAAAGCAAGCAGGCAAAACTAAATAAATACCATGGCTAATCCGCCAAGTAAGCTTCCAACAGTTAGAGCTCTTCTTTTCTGCCAACTTGTTGATGATGACGATGTAGAAGATCGCTCCTGATATTGTATTTCAGGATGATTAACTGCAGCAAGATTTCTATCATAATTATTTAATTTGAATATCTCTATTCCATTTAAGAAAGAATCATAGTACTCAGGCTTGGTTTTGGTGTTAGGGTGCAGGTCAAGCCAAAGATCTTGAAGCCCTTCTTTTTCCTGAGGGACCATTACGACATAGTCTTTGAAGACAGGAACGCCTTGCCCACCGCTCCACCCAATCACATCTGCTTCATCTTCAGCCGTTTGATTATTGATATATATAGAAAATACCTTCTGGTTTATTTTTGTTATACTCCTATCAAGCTCACAGAAATGAAGCCTGACAAGATACAAGAATCCAGTCTCAACGGGAAAATACCAGGTTAAGTTGAAGTTTAAAGTTATTCTAGGATTGTCAAAAACACCCATGAAACGAGCAGTGCGGTATACTAAATCAGGTGCAGTGTATGCTGGTACTGATGGTGTGTACTTGACCTGAAGATCATAATCGAATGCCAATTGCCCAACACCAGCTCCGAATATGTATTGATCATCTCTTGTCCAAGTGCGAAACATCCCTGAATCTGATTTAGGAGGAATGTCATCTCCTCCTACATTGATTCTGTAAACTGTTTCAAATACGTATGTGCTATCCAGTCTGATAACTTGAGAATACCCGACAAAAGGAAGAGGGAAATTTTCACCCCGTTTGTAGAGATTCAGAGGCATTGAAACAAGTTCAATCCCGTTCACAAAAGCAAATGCATCAGAAGAAGAAGGACTAAATGTTAGTCGAAGCGAATGGTTTTGCACAGCGACTATGAATTCCTTGATAAGAGTGGTAACATTCTTGCAATTTGCAGCAAGAGAAGCGCTGAAGTTGCTTAGAAGAGTATGGTTACCTTCCATAACTGAAAGGAATTCTTTCGAAGCATCAAAACCAGGGTAAGAAGTTGGATAGAAGTGAAGCCGAAGGAATTTTGGACCTGGTGTTAAATTGAAGGTGTAAGTAAATTCAGAAAAGAAAAGCCTAGCAGTCTTATAAGGAACTTGAGGGACTCCTGGCTCAATGGAAGAAGAAACCATTATTGGTGCTACAGTAGACTTGCTCTGCGAGATGAAACTTGCATCACTAGTCCAGTTCCGGCCATCAAATGGCAAAGTTCGCAAATCAGGGGATCCGCAATCCAGTGCAATATTTTCTAAAGGCTCATATGGAGGGTTATCTCCAAAAACGGATAACATAAGATGGAAAAAGATGAATAGAGAGGAAGGTTTCATGGTGGGTATTTTATTTAGTTCTAAGTTTGGGTCATTTCAGTGAAGGAAGGACACCCCTGCACTGCAATTTCTGATTTTATATAGTTCCGAGGTTCTAGACTTTGAGTTGAAGTCCTCCAAGTCAACCGATCATTCGTTATGTGATGAGCTGGACAGCGTTCAAAAATTCAATGATAAAGAAACGGAAATTATATTCCAACGTAGGAAAAAAAACAACAAAAGGATTAACCGCGTTTCGTGCAATTACGATGTTACAGTTGTTAAATTTGGGCCCACGCTGCAAGCCTAACTAACAAGTGAAAACCATGTAAGCTTCTTGGGAGAAATCTTTTAAATTTTAAAATACAGATAGGTGTAGATAGATTATTTTGATGCTACGTTGCACCGACGACGCGTATACAGATATGGACATGACACGATCTAATTAATTTTAAATGCGTAAATAATTATCTATAATAACTAATAATTATAAAATAACGAAATGTCTGATTTTCTGTTTCAAGATATTTTGAAGGTTAATAAGCGGTTGATCCTTACAACTTTATGTACTCCTAAATTTTAAATCAATATATCTTCAATCAGCTCTTAAATTTAACAATAATAGTAATGGCTATGCGGCAAGTTAGTTTACAGGATTTAAATAATGATCCAAGATTTTTTTTTCTTATATATATATATCATAAAATTTTTTATTTTAAATATAAATAATTATATTAAATCTCAATTTATAATTTCTAAGGATAAATTTATCCGAAAATTCAACTTAATATGTTATTAGAATTTTAATTTGAGTTACATCTGTCAAAATGGAGAGTCCAGTCTACAAGTCAAAAGAAGTTACATTAAAAATGGGACTCCAATGTTCAGGCTTGGCTTGGCTTGCGAACGAGACATTTCCATTGTAAACAAAAAAAAATATTTTGTGTTTTTTTTTTTTTGTTAATCAATTCTTTTTCAACGGAAAAAAAAAAAAAACTGATAATATAATAATTTTCAAATTTAAAATTTACGTTGTCAAAATCCGAATTTAAAATTCACAACAATGAGAAAATTATCCAAATTTAAAATAAGAATAATAAAATATTCATTATTAGCACATACGTACCATTTGATATTCATGAGACTTAGAAAGTAGAGTTAATGATAAGCGTTTTTGTTTAGGTTACCAGTAAGAACATCATTATGTTGAAATATTGATTAAAGATTATAAGTAGAATTTTATATATTTTAATCATAATAAAATGCTTCAAAACTAATTTTTTAATCTCAAATGACTCTTTTTTGAAAATGCGATTTTTAATCTCAAATGAATTCTAAAAGATTGAACTTGCAATTCAAAGGTTGTTGCTTTAATCATGGAACTACTTAAATACATTATATTAAAGAACTGTTTGTTGTGTCGATCACAGTTTCTTATATCTGGTAAAAGGTTATTAAAAGCACAGAGAATATATCAATACGAATATAGGAAGGTTGTCCTAAAGAGAAGGTACCAATTAATTACCATAATTATACGGCATTATCAAGTTTAAAATGTACAGTACAGTCCATGGATCCCTCCGGTCCGGCTCGTGCAAGCTTAAATTAAAATGGATCGAGTAAAAAAAAAAATACGAGCAATACCAAATCGTCTCCGGGCTTGGGCTGATGATTTGTTTGTGCTGCTCTCTACATATTTCTCAGTAAATTTCTCCAGGCATAACTTATATTCTAGAATTCTCCATCTCAAGTCTAATTTTTTTTAGTATTAGGGAGGAGATTTGAATATGAAATTTTTGTTAAGTCGTATATGCACTTTACCATTAGTCTATATCTGGGTGTGCACCTCTAAGTCCAACTTATACACCGACAAATGTAATAATTTGAGATAATTTATATAATTAATTTGCTTAAACCCTTAATGGCCTTTGATTAATCTGTCTTTTGGGGCGGTGGATCTTTTTCTCTTAGGCAATTGGCCAATTAGGTAATAATGTAGTGCCAAGCTATGTTGGGTGACTCAAGTCCTCCACTACAGTAGCTAGCAAACATCTCTTGGTTGGAACGGTTACTAAAAAACCAAAAAAAAAAAAAAAAAAAAATTTAAATATCATAATTACTAAATTATACGATGTCCTTATCAAATTACATCTACATTTATCTTTATATCGAAGATGTAACCTAAACTTTTTTGATGAAAGAATGCCAGTTAAATTCGGTTTACTATCTCAAACGATATGAGTGAATTCTCTAAAGATATTTGAAAACTTGCAATTACCACAAGGTTGTTTGCTTTAAATCAAGGAATAACGCTTACTTATAATACATTTATATTAAAGAACTGTTTGTTGTGTCCGATTCACAGTTTTCTTATATCTGGTAAAAGGTTATTAAAAGCACAGAAATATAATCAATACGACACTATATGAAGGTTGTCCTAAAGAGAAGGTACCAATTAATTACCATAATATCATACGCATATCAAGTTTTAAAATGTACAGTACAGTCCATGGATCCCTCCGGTCCGGCTCGTGGCAAGCTTTAAATTAAAATGGATCGAGTAAAAAAAAAAAATACAAGCAATACCAAATCGTCTCCGGGCTTGGCTGATGATGTGTTTGTGCTGCTCTCTACATATTTCTCAGTAAATTTCTCCAGGCTAACTTATATCTAGGAACTTCTCCATCATTCAAGTCTAATTTTTTTTAGTATTAGGGAGGAGAATTTGAATATGAAATTTTTATGTTAAGTCGTATATGCACTTCTACCATTATCTATATCTCGTGTGCACCTGCCTAGTCTCAACTTATACACCGACAAAATGTTAATAATTTGAATTAATTTATATAACTTAATTTGCTTTAAACCCTAATGGCCTTTTTAGATTAATCTTCTTTTGGGCGGTGGATCTTTTCTCTTAGGCAATTGGCCAATTAGGTAATAATGTAGTGCCAAGCTATGTTGGGTGAATTCAAGTCCTCCACTACAGTAGCTAGCAAACATCTCTTGGTTGGAACGGTACTAACAAAACAAAAAAAAAAAAAAAAAAAATGGGGGCTCTCTCTCTCTCTCTCTCTCTCTCTCTCTGTTTTCTTCTTCTTCATTAATTTTTTTTTCCTTTTTTTTTCATTAAAACACAAGAATCAACTATGTAGTTATGGTGGAAGGGCCGATCCTTGTCTCTTGTGACAACCCCTCTCTCTTTTTTTCTTATTTTTTACATTTTTATGATATTTACCAAATAAATTACAAATCTATATTATGTATATTTTCATTGTTTTGTAGCGTTTTCTCCCCATCTTGTTGGAGTTTGTGATATTCCTATTTATTTAGAGTATTTATTTTGGTTCTTTTTTCATTTATTTTGTTTTTATTTGGACAGACGTGCAATTTGTGGATAATTTATTAAATAAATGATCTCTATATGTTAGAGTCTGATAGTACAATCTATTCTTTCATTAGATTTAATTGTTCAAATTCATCGTGTCCGTCATAAGCAACTAGTTTATGTGTAACGAGGCTAATATAAAAAATTTAAAGAATTTGTATAGCCACTCACTTTGAAGTTCTATCAATTTTTTTCAAATTCATCCTTCAATTTTCAAATAAAATATCTTATTAAATCAGCAAACCGGTTTGTGCTATTTTAGTTATAGCAGTATTGTTATATGTCTGGTCTTTAGAAGATATGTCATATCCTCCCTGTGTTATTTGTATCGCTTTTTGAACTTATTAATAAAATCCTAATACATTAAATTCAAAAAAAAAAAAAAAGTCCTCCACTGCATTAGGATAAAATACATGCAACCCATATATATATATATATTAAAACTAAAACCAAAAACACTGTTAATATAACAGTTTATTTTGGTATTACCTATTTTAGCTCATATATTATACAATTTTACATATTCGACCTTACTTTATTGTTCTTGCATTTGTTCTATTGTTCTTTTTTTTTTTTTGACAGTAAATAAGATCATATATTTATAATAAATCATGAGAAATAAGAGTTGTAATACATTGGGCAGTCGAGTCCCATAGACGGAAACAAGGATATAAATATGCCACACGAGCAAGAGTGTATGCAGGCTTGTTGACTTGCCTCCTAACCCAAACCAATTCACAAGATGGTATTTGAGAAATCAGTTGTTTAATCCCTTCGAGCACTGGTGCCCAGTTTGAATAAGATTCAAATGCAGCAGTTACAGCTTAAAACAGTCATAGACAATCTATTTTCACCAGAACCCTATCAATAGATCTCGTGCGCAGCCAAGACAATCTGTTCTATTGTTCTTAGCTGCACTATATAGCCGACATGTAGATCAAACTCTGACAGGCACTTGCACACTTCAATAGGTTGAAAAATCAAGTTTTAAGAATTTTTTTTCTTTTTTTTTAAAAAAATTTTCAAATACCTTTATATCTATTTCATTGTAAATTATATTATAAACAATATACAAAACAATAATTTTTAGAATCAATTTTCTCTTTGACAAATAAGAAGATGATCAATGAATTTTTATGGTCCAATATAATTATAATTATGCATTTAGAACTTTTTTTTAAATAATAGTACTTTATTTGAACATAAACTAAGAAAAAATAATTTAGACAAGGATGGTAAAAATTTCCACGCACTGACTTATTTAAGCCTGGCCCAAAAAAACGTTTTAGAAAAGTATTTCAAATATTCTTAATTAGTTTATATATACCTGGCCAAAAAACGGTTTTTTAGAAAAGTAATTTCAAAATATTCTCCTTAATTATTTATATATAAAGATATTATATATATATATAATATATATATATATTGTTAATTATCAGAATTGAGAATTGAGTAAATATGTAAATTGTTTCTTTTTTTGAGTAAATTTGGGCTTAATATATGTTAATTATCAGAATTGAGAATTGAGTAAATTGTAAATTGTTTCTTTTTTTGAGTAAATTTGGGCTATATATATTGGAGTCAAGATAAATTTTACTAGGATAAGAATTATGTAAATGATACATTATCTGTT